AGCGTATCTGAGACTCAAGCAGAGTCTCAGATACGCTTTGTGCGCGAAGAGAAGGAGGCAAGCGAGCGGAGAAAATATCTGTGCAAGAAGCATTAAATCTGAGAGAAGAAACAAAGATTTGAGAGAGAAGAGAAAATATTTGAGAGAGTGCGCATGTTTTGAGTGTCAGCATTATAAGTTTTAAGTGCAAGAAGATGAAATTCTTTTCTCAAATTGAAAATATTTGCTCTTGCATTATGGCAGGATAATTCTCCCATATTAGAGCACTGATGTGAAGGTTTTCTGTCGTCGTAGGCAATAGGTACAGAATTCAAAATCGGTACAAAAACATATCTAAATCTTTACCCTTGCTTACTTTGAAATGCAAATTTTAGCCACAAGTCTACATTGCATTTTACAAAAACAGGACTTACCTTCAGCAGAAGCAAAGTCTGAGCTCACACAAGACCTTTAAAAGCAAAACAGAGGAGAGAACAATCATTAAAAACTGTAAAAAAAAAACAACTAAATTGATGATTGGTTGAGGAGAGGAGTTGCAGAGAAAGTTGGTTGCGGCGATTTTGCAGAGAGAAAATGAAAAGAAAAAAAGGAACCAGCAAAGCAGGCTAAGTAGGAGCGTAAGGCAGCATTAAGGACCATTGATTCTCTGATCTTTGGATCTCATTTCTTACAATTCATGCCTCTGTGCTGTGGTCACATGGGAAGACTGCTGCCAACATCCGATCAGAGGAACCTTTGGCCAATAAGCTTCTTGTTCCTAAATGTTGTTACCGAGGAGCGTTTTTATGGTCGTTTATCAAATTAATCCTAGACTGTATGGAGTGACTTTTGCTCCATTATCTTTCCGAGCAAAAAATTGTTTTGTAAATGGAAATAACAAAAATGAAATCATGAAAAGTAACTTATTTTCTCAGATTTTTAAATTATTTCCTTTTTATATTTAATAGTCTCATATTTAGAAAACTTTTAAAGAATTTCTATTTTTTATATATTTTCTAAATAATTCTTTCAAATAAAATTTGAAATGTTTTTTTTTCAAGCTTAATTTTCCTCATACAGGTTTTAAAGAATTTATATATTTATTTTATTGCAAATTTCCAGAGTAAGTTTTAATATCCGTATTCCTTTTTAGATTTCAATTTACAGATCAGATTCTCTTCCTTTTAATCCAACTACAAACTCCTGACATGATCGTTGACCAAAAAACAAACAAACAAAAAAAAATGCAACAGTTCAAGCTGACCAATAGAAACGAGCGTTCATTCTTCACTGCCATGGAAAGCCCGCCCCAACAAGTACAGAGAATCTGATCCGATTAAAGCACTCTCAAAAGAATGCAAAAGGTTAAACATCATAAAAAAAGATGGGAAAATCTGTAAAAAAAAGAAAAAAAAAATTTAATCTGAAAAAAACAAAACAAAAAAAAAAACCTTAAAGTTTACTCACAACCTTGTTTTTTTACTTGTTTAATTTCTGGATTGTTTCTTTTTCTTTCTCCCAAATTTCAATTTACACAATCGGTTCCATTTTAGCATCAATAAAGAAAAAAGATTCACTCTATACGACTGAATAAACTAAAACATTATGGCCTGAATCTAGGTATGCACAATATAATCGGCCCCCTATCGGTATCGGCCTTAAAACTGAATATCGGCCATCGGCCACCCCACCGATATTTAACCCGATATTTGATCAGCTTCTGAGTTTCTAAAGACTAAAAAAATAAAAAATACTACTTCTTCTTCCTCAAAAACTTCTTTTTTACAGACTTAAAAACTTCTAAAGACGAGGGAAAAAATATTGATACATTAAAATATCCCAATATCTTCATATGCTAATATATTGCCATTTAAAAACACCATATCAATCTCTTTTACCAATGAAATATTGCTATATGTCATCGTTATGCTACGAAATCCCCCGAAAATTCACCAAATGTTGCCATATTTTTATATGTTGATATATTGACGCGGTATCGATCTATTTTACTAACAAAATCTCACAAGAATTTGCAAAATATCACGAGAGTTTGTAACAGAACGATGAAATTTCACCAGATTTTGAAAGTAAAATAGATCGATACCGCGTTTTTAAAAATCTATTTGATATCAGCATATGAAAATATATTTGAGTTTATTATTTTTCAGAGTGTCAGAAATGGATAACAAAACTGCTATTTTCAATGACTACTTATTTTTGTCCAGTTTTAACATCGGTATCGATATCGGTTATCGGCTACATGAGTTTTAAAATATCGGATATCGGCCATATATACGATGCAATATCGTGCATCCCTACCTGAATCATATTTAAATAATCTCCATTTAAATAATAATTAGTTAGAAAATCTATCAGACGTTTTTAACAGAACCAGATTAGAACCCCTTCTGATTATTAGTTTAATTTTCGTTCCTCAAACCAAGCCACGTATTCCTAAACCCAGAAATACCTAATATTTTCCTGCCGTTCAGCAGAAGGGATTGGCTGAGTCTTTCGACCGTCCCCGGGACAGTGCTGGGGGCCCCTTTCCCTCGCGCCTCTCCATGGAGCCTTGTAGCCGTCATGTTCGCTCTGACCCTCGGTGTCACTGGAGGAGGTCAAAGGGTCGGACGGAGGGCCCAATGGAGACAGAAAACACAGTCTGGTGAGGGAGACGAGTAACGGTACCCGCTAAGTCCAGCACAGTAGCAACGGCATGCAGAACAGTTAGCAGTGGAAGCGTGCGTGGGCCCCGGGCCCTTGTAGAACCGGAGCCAGTCATGTTAGGGTAGTTAGTAGGTGAATGTAGCGGCGGCCCAGAGCTTAGAGCCGCTCTGCTTTAGTGGTGACCTCATATGGTTTAGTTTCTTGTTAGTGAGCATTCAGACGGTGTTAGATGATCAGCAGTAGAAACATTCAGCGTCTCCACCTACAGCTCCTTCCTGCGCCTGCTTGGAGGTGTGCTGGTGCTCTCCATGTAGGAATGCCTGAGCTTGGCCACAGACACACGGCGTTCCGGAGGATTCTCTGCGTTCCCCGCGCCTTCGCACTCGTCTTGAAGCTGCTGATGTTGGCTTCTTTGATTGAAGCCTACGTCTGATGGTGGGTGGTCTACAGAGGTCCTGGAGGGGGGTCCTTGGATCGGGTATAAAGCGGTGGGATGGATGTGGGTGGCTGTCGGTCCTTTGTGAACGTAAATGTGTTGTTGCCCTCGGGGTCGGCGCTCTGCTGCCTGCAGGGGGGTACAGTGGTCCGGTCTCTCTGCTCTGGCTCGGCCCATGACTCCAGATCTTGCGCGTTCCTCTGCAGCAGCGTCTCCAGCCTGGATGAGGCCGTAGACGGTGCACAGCTCAGGTTCCTCCTCACTTCTTCCTCTCTGCAGGTCCTCTGTGCTTCTCTCCCTGCGGCGGATCTCTGAAGGTAAAACGGCTTTCCTGCTCCTCAGGAGACCCTCCGTTTTCCCCCCCTCAGGTTCCTCCGTCTCATCCCAACTCGCCGGTTTTTCCTGCTGCTGCTCGGCTCTGGATGCGGGACCAGAGGCCATGGATAGGTAACTGGGGTAACCACCCACATCCTCTCCTCCTTGGTGACTGGACCTGCTGAAGTGAGCTTGCGGGTCGTGGAAGTATTTCTGGGGGCCTGCTGGCTCTCTGTGGCAGCGGGTCGGAGCAGAGATCTGGGGCCCGTGGTGAAGCCGTCTGTGGTACCCCGACACTTCAGACACATTTTCCAACTCTGGGTTAGTGTGGTGCCCCTCCTCCCTGGCAAGCCTCTCCCTAACTTTTATTCTTTAAGGAAACAAAGAACCAGTTACCATTTGGCACAATATGGTAGACAAAGTACAGCAAATACAAACTTGTGTTGTTTGAAAACAGAAATGGACGTCGGTCTAACTAAGGATTAGAGATGCAGGATATAATCGGCCCCCTATCGGAATCGGCCTTAAAACTGAATATCGGACATCATCCACCCCA